CAGTCTGTATCCAGATCAGATGGTCACTGCAGTCACCCGGATCCAGTCCGTATCCAGCCCAGATCCCCAGTGAAGACCTTGTCTCCTAGATGGCCACCGGGACCAGTTAAGTCCTCTGCACAATGTGACATTGCTCCAGTGAGATTAATTCAAAACACTGTTACAAAAACCTCCTTTTGGGAAATAGGAATCCTTTTGCTAGTCAATGACTGTTACAGTATACGACATAAATAGAGGGGTGCAGATACAGTAAAATTCAGCAATAAACTTTAAGAAAAGTTTACTGTCATGAGATCTTACAGTAAATGAAAAGCACTACAAGAGAAAAGTTCAAAGACCAAACAATACTGTGTATTGTGAAGTATAAGGCGAAGGAGTGTGAGTGTGTGTGTGAGTGAGGTGTGTGTGCGTGTGTGCGTGTGTGTGTGTGAGTGCGTGCGTGCGTGCGTGTGTGTGTGTGTGCGTGTGTGTGTGTGTGTCTCTGTGAGAGTGCGTGCGTGTGTGTGTACCTCCATCACAGATCCCTCTGAACTGTAAAGGGCCGCCAGGACAGATTGCTGGTGAAAACAGAAAAATGCAACACACATTAATTTATTACTTTTCATGCAATTCCACACAAACTCTGAAGTGTCTCTAGATCTTCAGAAGAAGGTGCTCGTGACGTACCGAATCCACCTGGAAGGAGTTGTTGGTTCCTCGATGGTCCAGATCGTGACACATGCAGGACACGAAGAGCGCCAGAATCTCTATATCTCTGCCAGAATCAGACGTATAAATCAGTCGAGGAAAATGGTATGAATTGTATAAATTAGTACAAATAAATGTCCATTGTAAAAATTAGTAGAACAAAATAATATAACTTGCAAGAACTAGTAGTAGAAAATAGAATAAATGACAAAAAGTAGTAGTACGAAAATTTTAAAAAATAGCAGAACAAAATGATATACATTGCATCAATTATGATAACAATCGTATAAATTGCTAAAATTAGTAGTGCAAACTGTAGAATAAATTGTATGAATTACTAGTACAAAATAGTATAAATTAGTACAAATAAATATCAATTGTAAAAATTAGCAGAAAAAATAGTATACATTTTATAAATTATGAGAACAAAATCATAAAATTGGCAAAAAATGTGCAAAATAGAATAAAAGCCAAAAATAGGCCAAATATTACAAATTATACAAAATAATATCAATTAACAGTTATAAATTGTATAAATTAGTTGTGCAAAAACACTAAAAAAATCATGTGATCTTTTTTAAGATTTTAAAATTAAGATTTTATCCACCTTAATTAGAGTGACAGTGAATGCAAAAATTAAATTATATTAAAAGCAGAAAACATCCTAATGTATAGAACTGAGTTAAACATGCAGCAGCAGCATCTTAAATAATTCACTACATTAAAACAAGCTGCAGTGACTCTGTGGAGGGAATCATTTACGTGAACCGTCTGAATGAAGTGATTCACTAAAATGATTCAAAGCTCCCCCCACAACATAATGACTTATTATAGTGTTTTATTATGCTGTGGTGCTATGGGAAAGCAGCTTGTTCCTGTAAAGCCACTGGTTTGAGTGATTCTCTGCTTACTCGAGGTAGTTAGACAGTTGTAGGTTCTTGTAAAGCAGATAACAGAAGTGTGAGACGGAGAAGGCATGCATCCAGTTGTGATACGGAGGATCTCTGTAGCCCTTCTTCACCATCAGACAAAACCTACACAACAGAGAAAACACAGGTTCACTATAGATTCCTCTCAAATATCAGGCTTTTTTTGCCTGAGTCCGTTCAAGTTGACATTTTTACCATTACAAATGTGTTTCAAAACTTACTAAAAAACTTTATATTAATAAAAGTCATGATTTAAAAGTGTACAAGATGTAAGGAGAATATTAAATTACTTTTTACTTGACATTTTAATTCTTTAGATCACAACTTTTTGTTGAAAATTATATAAATCAGTCACACAAAATAGCAAAACTGAATTAATTAGGAGTACAAAATGGTATAAATTGTATAATTTAATAGTAAAAATTTATTAAAAAGTAGCTAAAGTTATATTAATTAGCAGTATATTGTGTAAATTAGCAGTACAACATTTTTTATAAATTACTAAAACAAAACAGCAAAATTGTATTAAGTAGTAATGCAAAATATAAATGAGTAGAAAAATCACATTAAATTAGCAGAACAAAATAGTACAAATCATGAAACAGTAGTACAAATTATACAAATTTGTATAAAATAGAATAAATTCTAAATTAGTTGTACAAAAATGGTATAAATAGTATAAATCAGTAGAACAAATAGCATAAATTGTATAAATTTGTAGTATAAAATAATATAAACTATATAAATGAATAGTACCAAATGGTATAAATTGTATAACTTACACTGAATAAATTATAAAAATTTTTTTAAAGGTAAGTGGTTGCAAACTATTTATTTTAGCTTTGTAGGTCTTTTCTATTGCTAATGAAACTGAGAGATGTATAGATCGCTGCTGATATGCAATATGTAATAATCATGGGCTTCATTCATGAAACACAAGCAAGGATATCTGTGAAAATGTATCTGTACTTCCTCTGTCCTATTGAACTGAACACAACAATTTGCAGCAAATGGATTTATGAACGATTCACACATAAATTCGCTCTGCTCGTGTTTCATGAATAAAGCCCCATGTGCATGCCCAAGGGAGCTGAAGGAAGATCAGATCAACCAAAACTGGGATTTATCAGCATTTAGCACCACCTGCTCCCAAGACTGTAGGTGTCAATATTTTGTTTCATCATCACCGAAAGCCACAAGATGTTAGGAAGAGCAACTGAGGCATTTGATATTATAATGGTGATCATATTTCACATCCCATACAATTATGCTCATATAGATTACAAAACCGCTACTACAACAACAAGGCTTCTTCTTTAATGGCCTACTGCACTTAAACAAAAAAGTAATCCTACAAAGTTGCATAAAAGGCGTAAATACCGAAAGATGCTGTCAAAATATTCCACAGGGTCCTATATGTGCAAGGATTAAGCCAGTTTTTTGTCTCTAATTTCACAGGTCATTTTTTTAAGAAGTACATTAATATACAAAATTATTCAAATGAGCAGGAATATTAAATTAAATGTACTGGACACAGGTGGCAATTTAATCATTACACATATGAAATATTGGTTTAAGATTTTGTTAAATCATGTAAAAATTGCCATGTAATGCAAAAATTCATGCAATGTTTAATGCTAATTATATTTAGATTTTATGGGCTGAATCATGGCTGCAACAAAATGAACTGAGACACAAGTAAACATTCGTAACAAGAAAAAAAAACATTACAAAACATAACAGAAATACAAAAAGTAAAGAGAAATGCAAATATATCATTAACTTAGAGCATTTCAGAGTTCACATACTAGCATAATGGTGTAAAATTTGACGTCATGGCATTAAAGTAAATCCAATTTCGGATAGGAAATGTTGTCAAATGTTACCTGTACACTGAAAAAAATTATTCGTTGAATTTACACATTTTTTTAAGGTAAGTTTTTGCAATCGATTTATTTTAGCTACATTTAAATAAACAAATTTAGTTGACTAACTTTCAACATTTTTTTTATTTAAATGTAGCTAAAATAAATAGTTTGCAACCACTTACCTTTAAAAAAATGTTGAAAGTTAGTCAACTAAATTTGTTTATTTAAATGTAGCTAAAATAAATAGTTTGCAACCACTTACCTTTAAAAAAATGTTGAAAGTTAGTCAACTAAATTTGTTTATTTAAATGTAGCTAAAATAAATAGTTTGCAACCACTTACCTTTAAAAAAATGTTGAAAGTTAGTCAACTAAATTTGTTTATTTAAATGTAGCTAAAATAAATCGATTGCAACCACTTACCTTAAAAAATATAGTAAATTCAATTAATCATTTTTCAGTTTAGTAGTATAAATAGTACACATTTTATTAATTAGTACTATCAAATACAATAAATAATAAATTAGTAGAACAAAATGGTATAAATTGTATAAATTAGTAGTGCAAAATTATATAAACGGTATAAATGAATAGTGCCAAATGGTATAAATTTGATAAATTAGTAGTACAAAGTAGTATACATTTTATAAATTAGTACAAAATCAAATAGCATAAAATGTATAAATAAAACAGTATAAATTAAACATAAGTAGTAAAAAATTATATAAATTATAAATTAGGAGTTCAAAATAGTAGTAATAGTTCAAAACCATATTAAACCAACTTAAAAGCAAATATTCCATTTCTAAGAGCTCGGTACATGAGTTTAACTAGATTTCTAAAAGATTTTTCTTTTCTCTGTCTTTAGATTTGATGGTATTTATTACAGGTCGGTCTGTGAGAGTCTGTACCTGGCTAAAGTGTGCAGGTTGATCTTATAGGTGTTGATGACGCCCATGTCTTCAAACATGCTCAGGACGCCCTGCGACACACACAGACACAGACACAGACACAGACACACACACACACACACAGACACACAGACACACACACACACACACACAGACAGACACAGACACACACACACACACACA